TATATATATATATATATATATATATATATATATATATATATATATATATATATATATATATACATATCAGGGGCGGATCTAGCATTTTAAATGGGTGATGCGAAATTTTTTTATCGACGCCTCCCCCCCCCCCCCGCAACCTCTCTAGGGTTTAAGTATAGTCAATATAAAAAGTGGAGAAACAGCTTTTTTTACTAGTGGCGCCGCTGTTTATATCATTGAATAATAACTAAATTTTGTAATGTTTTTGCAGTATCCATTTTTAGCAGAAATTTTTACAAATGTTGCCTTGGCTATTTTGTTCATAAATTAGACATGTAAATTAAGCCTAATTTACTTAACAAAGTGCACCAACGAGAAGGTAAGCCATAGGACTTTGCACTTCATCTGTATACTGTCATTTTGCCCTAGGTTAGCCCTCCATTTCTGGAGTGTAAAGTAATATTGCCTAAGGTTGGCCCTCCACTTCTGGACATATATATATATATATATATATATATATATATATATATATATATATATATATATATACACACACACACACACACACACACACACACACACACACACACACACACACACACACACACACACACACACACACACACACACACACACACACACACACACACACACACACACACACACACACACACACACACACACACACACACACACACACACACACAATATTAGTAAAAATCAAATTAGAAATAAGAAAAAAGTAAAAAAAAAGTTAGTACACTACTAAATAAAAGCTAAGTCTAAACATCTTTCACCTGAAAAAATGTCAATGACTCTTTCAACATCTGGAAAAATTTCTTGATGTATGGACATTAATGCTAAAGAGTTAAAGCGAGACTCAATCATATTACTTCTAGAGAATGTTTTTAGCCTACGTATAACTGAAATACTTCTTTCACATTCACAAGTTGTTATTGGAATTGTTCCTAAAATTATAAATGCTGTCCTTATATTTAGAAAACCTCTCATGTCAATGAACTTTAAAGTACCAGCAACAGTTGAAGGAATACTTGACTGGTTTTCCCAAATTAACTCCCATAAATCTAACTCAGCATGTATTGAAGTAAAATGAGGCATATCAGATGAATAGAAATTTAAAAATTCATAAAAATCAGATTTCCATAGTTTTTTAACTTGTATTCTGGACAGTACAGTTTAAGGAACTGCTGCTAGACCTTTATAAACAAACATGTCATTTTCTGGAAACCTATTATCTTGCTCATTAATAAGATGTTCAATTAATGGAGATGTAATGCTGTGTTTAAAATAGTCACAAACTGTATTTGTTGGATAATTATCCCGGTAAACCTGGACATTACACAATCTAGGTCTCACTTCTTGTATATCAAGAGTTTTGGCCAAACTAAGAGCGATAGTGTACCATTCAGTGTGATATATATCAATTTTATTTTTAATTTCTAATAACAGATTTTTTAGATTAGTTATTTCAAAACACTGCTGGGATATGTCAAAAGATTTAGTTTGAAGAGTTACAGTAATTGCATTAAAAAAATCAATTAATTGTTTTGTAATAACTAAACTTACAATAAAAGAGAAATCTGTTAATAATCTTAAAAAAAAAGAGGATTTGGAAGCAGTTTCACTGCTATATTCCTTTGACTCATTTAACCCCATCTACTCTAAAGCATGAATAATAGGTATAAAATTATCAAAAAAAAAAATCAAGACCTCTCAGCTTTTGAACCCATCTTGTTCGACAAGTATCTATTATTTTTTCTTGATTTGGACTTAAATATTTTTTGAGACAGTTACTACGTTTAGGAGATAAGTTAAAAAAAAAATATTTCTTTTACTTGGCCAAGAAGATTTTTTACTTTTTGAACTTGGCATGCAGCTGCTACTACTAAACTAAGTCTATGGCTTGCACAATGAACAAATATAGCTTTATGATTAAGAGCTTTTATTCGAGAAGCAACTCCTTCATATTTACCTGCCATACAACCCGCACCGCCATACCCTTGGCCTCTACAATTTTGAATATCAAGTCCAAACTCTTGAAGTGCATTAAGTACATTTAGAGACTAAGACCAGATGTACCAGTCTTGCAATCAATAAATCTTAAGAAATCCTCCCAAATCTCATTATTTGAATTTACATATCTTAAAACAAGTGACATTTGTTTAGTATTTAAACAGTCAACTGCTTTATCACAAAGAATTAGAAAAAAAATTGAATGTTTGACATTTTTTATTAAAACTTTCTCAATTGCTTTCCTACAAGAATCAATAAGTTGGTTTTGGGTAGTTTTTGATATATAGGTTGCATTTTTTGGACTTGAAGAAAGATGATTAGCTAATACTTGATCACCAGCATCAACACAAAAATTTAAAAGCTCTATGAAGTTACTAATTCCAACTTTTTGTGTAGAAGATTCCCCAATATCAGGATTATATTTGCTAGCATCAAAATGCTAGATCGTTTCTACCAAGAAATATTATTATTTTAATTATTGGAACTAATTTTTTTCTGTTACCAGAAAGAAGTTTCAAACGAGAATTATTTAAATCACCCTCAATAACATTATTTTTGGAGTTGCAACGTGAAAGCAATGCATTAAATAAAAGCATAGGTTTTTCATGTAAAACACAACTTTCCTCATGTTTTCTATAATCACGAACAGCATTACCCCACTCTTGATGGGGCTTGAAAACTAAATTTAATATTCCAGACTTATTTGGAATACTAGCACCTAGCAAAGTACAAGGAAGACAGTAAGCTCCATCTTCTTTGCTAGAATAAGCTAACCAAGAAAACTGGCTGAGCCATTTAAATTTAAATGATCTTTTTGTATTAAAAGATATTGGAAAAACAAACATAGAATTAGGACAAAATACTTTGTTTACCATATCTAACAAAATAGAATCATTTTTGCCAGCAGTTAAAAGTTTACCTCGAACAAGGTATGTTGAAACATCATACAAAGAATTTAATTCATTATATGAAGGAATAATAACTGAGTTGGAGTCTAATGACTTAACTATTTTTGAATCTACAGAAGGTTCAAAAGGCAACTCTATGAAAGCATTGTCTTTTTTAAAGTTAATTTTAGATAAAATTTTGACATGTTTTGCAGAATAAAGTTGTTGTTTTTTTATTTGTTTCAGTTTTAGGACTAAAAAAGTGTAAAGGATAAGTAGTATCGTTTTTTATAGCCAAATTCTTATTATTACTAGAAATTAGTTTAGGTTTTATAATAATTGGTACAAAATGGTTCGGTGTCCAGTTATCATTATTTTGCATCACTGACATAATATCAGTATTACACCATAAAATATTTAAAACATTTTGATCTTGATTTTTAATTGAACGAAATGGATAATTATATATATAAATAATGGAACGAAAAAATAATTGTATTAAAAAGTTTTTTGAATTTTTCTAAGCCAAAATCAGTATAAATTGATCTAATAGGAATATATAAAACTGATAACAAAGCAATTAGACATAAAAATGAAGAAAACTTGTTAGCTCGGCAGTTGATCAATGCTTCCATTATTATAATTTCAGAAGTAGATTCACTGTTAATTAATTTAAATTGATCTGAACATTCAAAAGAAACACAGGCTACTAGAACACTGGAAAGATTAAAAAAATTATTGTTTTTAACCTATTTAACAAAAAGAGAGTACCTCGCATAGTAGCAAACTTTTTCAAACAATTCAATCGAAGTTAGAAGCCTCAATACATTAACTGTCTTCAGAGCAGATTGCTTAAAAGTGAAGCTGAACTGTAGAGGCATGCCTCTACAGTTGCCAGAGGCATGCCTCTACTTTTTATTTAATTTAAGGTCATCTGAAGATGGAAATTGCCGGCAATTTCCATCTTCAGATGACCTTAAATAAAATAAAAAGTATACTAAAACAAGTTCAGTTTATATTAAATACTAGCTGGAAATATAAAATACCATTAACTTTAATAATAGGGTTTTACCTTAAAGCAACATAATCTTTAGTATCTTCTTGCTTTGGGATAAAACGATCCATTTCAGCATTTTCAGAAGACTGACTATGTGGCTGAACTGGACTCTTATTATTTAAAACTTTCAATTCTTCAGTCAACTGGTTTTTATATTTGCGAATATTTGGCAAATGTCTAGCCTTAATTGCATTTGAGACTAAAAAGTTCATTTTTTTTTAAAACTTTAGTTTACGAGCAAAGTCCAACGACGAAAATTACGAATATCAGGCGGCATATCAGAATTTTGTAAAATTTGAACGATTTGGAGCAACTGATGCAATTGTTCTAAACTTTCTACAAATTTGATTGGTTATAAATAACATTTCTTATCTTTTTTGTGAAGTTTTTTGCGGAAGTTTTGTAGCAACTGATGCAATTGTTATTTTATTAAATATATGATTGGTTTAAACTGTTTTTTAACCAATCATTAATGATTTAGAGTACAATTGCATCAGTTGCTACAAAGTGATCGGAAAAATTTGTGAAAAAATACAAATATGATTAATTAAAACGTACTTTTTTTTTTTAAAACCAATCACATTTGTATTTAGTGAAGAACAATTGCATCAGTTGCTCCAAAACGCAGGAATTTTGTCTAAGTAACGAATAAGTAACTATAGAGATCGAATAAGTAACTATAGAGATCAAATAAAATTGACTTTAAATGATTTTTTTTCGAGTTTAAAACAAGTTTTTCATTTTTTGTGAATACCAGATTCCAATTTCTCCTTTTACTTTGTATTAAGAAAAAAAAGTGAAAAAGAGATACACTTATATTTAGCGGTGAAAAAAGACTGATGCATGCGCATCATTCGCGACACCCTGGATCCGCCCCTGCATATATATATATATATATATATATATATATATATATATATATATATAAACTACTGTATTATACTCTCACTATGAGATAGTGGGCATCAACTTTTATTATATTGGCGATACTTATTTCATTGCTCAATATTGGGCGTTGCTCAGTTACGGTTTTATTTTTCTTCCATAATCTCTATTAATTGCCGTCGCCAGAAAGCTGCCAATTTTTTCTTTAATACTTTTGTCAGTGGCGATTTCGAAATGAACGAATACAACGATAAACGACTAAACGCAACTCTACAAAATGTTTTTTAAATATCATCACAATATAATTTTGAAATATATAACTTTTCACGTATAAATATTGTAAAGTAATTAGCTTTTATTAAAATATTTATTTATTAAAAGGAAATGGGATGTAGAATACAAATATTGTGCTTTACCTATAACGACCTTGCAGGACGTTTTTGTTTCATTCCATACACTTAGTATAAAAAACATACTTCTTTGGCCATTAGCTGTATTAATATTGCCGCTGTAAATTGTTTCTCATCTCCTCGAACTGAAGTAAAAAAGTTCATCTAAAATAAGAAAACAAATGTAATATAATTGGTTGTACTAAAAGTATAATGGTTCCTCATGTGTATGTATTAGACGGTTTTCCATAATGTGATTCTTATTAAAATATGACATTATGGAAGTGTAAAAGCAATTGGTTATAAATAGATTATGACATTTGTAGCGGTGAATACACCCTACAGATGTCAAAGATATCATAACTTATTATTTTAACTAATACAAAAAAACTTATATGTTCATTATCTCAAAATGATGTTTTTGGAATTAGTGCATTTACGATCACACACCCACAACGTTGCTTCTGACGCAACACAATAATAGTTTATATATAATACATTTATTTACACTAATTTACACATACATGAGAACATCAAAAGCTTCTTGGTCTCCTCAGTTTGATTGGAGCCTTTGACTTTTCCATGACTCCTCATTCTGGATACCTTAGTATCGAAACTACAATGCATTTTCATCATAAGATCGTGAGTTTATCTGGGTGAATTGCTTATGGTATTATTATGGTAATTTATATGGTAATTTTATATAAACAATAAATTGGCTTTTATGCTTTTATATAGATATACTTAAAATATAAATTAGGTTGTTGCCAACCTAATTTATATTTTAATTTATATTTTATATATATGTATATATATATATATATATATATATATATATATATATATATATATATATATATATATATATATATATATATATATATATATATATATATATATATATATATATATATATATATATATATATATATATATATATATATATATATATATATATATATCAGGGTGTAAACTAGCCCTGTGGGCCCCGTCAAACGTGGTATTCCCAAATGCTCATAAAATTAAAATTCCGAATTTAAAGGTTAAAAAATCCCGTTCTCCACATAATTTTCGCCAAATCAATGTTAAATAATAATTCTAAAAATTATTGTAAATTAATTATTATTAAAAAATAATAGAAAGATAACATAAGAAATTCTAATTTAAATATTTGTGTAAAACTTGAAATAAGATCGCTCTTATTGGTATAACTACGCGATTGTCTAATTACGAAAATTTTTCTTCGAAAAAACTTCTTGAGAATTGGAATTTTCCAAGCAATTTTTGGGATTTTGGGATTCTCGGCATCTTGTTTCTAAAAGTCATTTCTCAAATTCTTCGCAATGCGTTCCAACAACAGTAAATATTATATAACAAAAGTTAGCAAGAAATATAGTACAATCTTTTTTTAAAAAAGATAACAATATTGTTTAATTTTACACCTGCAAATGCTATTTCCTTACAAGTTTCACCCTTTTTTGCTGAAAAGTTAAATAACTCATCAATTTATTAAGTCTGCAAACTCTACTTAGATTTCTTAAATAGATTTCTACTTTGCTTTAGATTTCTTAAATAGATTTTTACTTTGCTTTTATTTAAAACATAAATTAAATACACATATCAAAACGTACATTAAATACGTTTAAAAACAAGCATGTTTTTTTTTATTACAATAAACTAGTACTAGAAATTTAAAAAACAAGAAAACTAGTTTCACTGCTTCCTTGAATTTAATTTGTAAAAGCAAATTTAAATATTTGAATAAATCATAGTCTTAATAACATTTTATGACTATTAAAAAAATAATTATTGGTATTCTTCGTTGCAACGCAATAGCGTGCAATCGCTTGCGATCAAATTCTTTTGTAATTAGACGACGTTTGTTGATGTTTTTGCTCAGGCTTTGTAGTTGTAACTTTATTTCGCAATGCGATTTATGTATAGAGAAAATTAATATTGTTTATAAAATTGAACTCATTATAAATGTGAAACATGAAATTTACGAGCTCTAGTTTACTACTTTGAAAACCTTTTTTCTTTTTCTTTTTTTTAAACATTTCTTTTGATGGCACAATTTATTACATGATGGTGTGCGGGTTTGTCCATTGAATTCTTAATAAATATTAAACTCTTAAACCTGGATAATAATTCCTTAATAAAATTTCCAACCCATCATGCCAATTTTTATATTTTTCAATAAAAATGACTAGACAGAACGATATTTTGAAATTTAAAAAAAAAATGTATATATTATACACGCACAATATGCCTCTCTAATACATACATACATACATACATACATACATACATACATACGTACATACATACATACATACATACATACATACATACATACATACATACATACATAAATAAATAAAAAATTTAGTCTGTTAACAGAATTAATTTAGTCTATTATGTTTTATTAATTTTGAAAAAGATGAACATGGATTTAATATTTTATACATCTGAATCTTATTAAAACTATTTCAAACTAAGATACAACATATTTAAAACAGTTAAGCATTTTATTAAAATGGTCAACTTAAAATAAATAAAACATCGACAAAAATAACGGGAATAAATCGAATTTATTTATTTGATATAAAATCTAAAAGTTTTAAACTAGTTGCAATTAAAATAGGTTTTTAAATATATATTTATTAAAATGTTTTTTATACCATCTGCATTCTATTAAGTTTTCCTTGCCTTTCCATTACGGCTAATTATTTTTGTAATGGCTTGTATTGAGACAATAATTTTCAATGCGCCACTTCCTCAAAGAAACGTTTTATTAACGTTGACAAAGTAACACTTTTCCAAGTTTTTCCGACGTTTTTTTATAACCACATTTTCAACGCTGGTATATGTAACGTTAAATAAGCGTTGTTTTATAAATAGCGTAAATACGTTGAAAAAGCAGCTAATGTCTAACATTGATAAACCATAAACTTTGCGACATTTTTACAATGATTATTTGCGTACTTTTATTCAACGTTGAGTAAATTTTTTGAGAAGATACGCAATTTTTTGAAAAGATACGTTTAAATTTATACGCTTATTCAACGTTGAAAATGTTACGTTTAAAAAGCGGTTTGTTTTTAACGTGGTAAAGCATATACTTTAAAACATTTTTAAAGTGGCTTTTTACGTAAGTTGAATCCACGTTGAATAAACGTTTTATTTTGAGAAACTAAATTACGTTACAATTTCAGAGTGTAATGGACGTTTTGAAGCTTTTTTTGTATTTGTATACAGCTCTACTTAAAAAAACTGTCTATTATCCAGTTGTCTCTACCATGTCAAATTGCTTCTTCAGGGGTTTAACAAAACTGTATGACTCAGACAAAGTTTCTTTAAATATTAATGACCACAAAATTAAAAATCTCTAGTAATAAAAATAAAACAATGAATAAAGTTGAAATGAAAACTCGTTTACCACACATTGTTATAGAGAAGTTAAACTTTATTGTTTTTATATGATAAAATTATAAATAAATTAACCAATTATACTGTATATACTTTTTGTTGTTGTTACAACTACGTAATGTTAAAATCATTTAAAAAGAACCTATAAAATATTTAACGTAATTAATTACTATTAGCTCAATCTTTAAATTAATAAGTTAACAAATTGAATAAAAAATTAAGGAAACGCCTCATTAATCTAAAAAGAGCTTTATTAGTCTAAAAAAAAACTTTATACTTTTTCAATTTTTCAGCCCTCTTGTCAAAATTACATGAAATTAAAGTCTTACGTCCCGATATTTTAGTAGTACCTGGCCATTATAGACGTTTGCTATATAAAAAAAAAATTTTCTTTTAATAATTTCTTTTAATAATTAAAATTTTAATTTAAAAATAAAAAAATCGTCCACAGAAAATTTCTCAAATCATCTCCAGAATATTATTCAAAAAGTTTCTCTAGAAAAAAAAAACTGTTTGTCTTTGGTGACTTTAATATTAACGCCCTAAATTATGACGACGATATAGAAAGTCAAAACTTTTACACATAGTTTATAGTTTTTTGGTCACTAAATAAAAAAATAAAGAAAACAACAGATAAAATCTACATAAAAGTTATATAAAAAATATATGAACTATTATATATTGCTGTTAATAATAACAACAATATGTAACAGTTATATAACAGTATATCATAATAATATATTATTATGATATACTGTATTTAATATTCTTTTATTTGCTTTACTAAATTAAAGTTGTAATTATATTAAAACTATTTAAATACAAGGATTTTATGTTAAATTGTATAAAATTAGCAATTCCTTGATAATTTTAATTTATTTAGATTATAGTAAATATTCTTTTGAAATGTTGGTTTTTGTTTTTTATTTTAACTTTATTTTTTTTATAAATTAAAATCAATATATCACAAGAATTAATATTAAAATTGCATCAAATAATAATTTTTTCACCTATTAATTTTTAGCTTTAACAATAACGATGGAATTATAAAATGATTTCAATGCAAAAAATAAGTCGGAAGGTGAAACAACAGATTTTTTATGCTTCTAAAACTCATTAACTCCTCGAAACAACATTACACCTCTTAATTGCACAATCTTTAATATCATCACTAACTCCAGTTACACAGTTAGAAAGAAAAGGTTTTTGTAAGGAAATGGATAGTTTAAAAGTAATATGTGAAAGACTAAAGTTAGAATTTGGAAATGAGAACATATGTGCTCTATTTACAGTTTAGATACTGAAAAAAATTTGTTAGTAATGATGGATTATTTAAGTGAAGATGAAAAAATTATTGTTACAAGTTAGCCTTAAATGATCAAATATATTGTTGACTTTGATAAAATTAAACTAAAACTTACTTTAAAATGCTTGCTTATATATGTAACATCAGTAAGAGTTAGCAATAAGCTATTTGGAAGTGGGTTGTTATTATGTATTTTAAACTAAAGTTTCCGATAAAAATGCAAGTCAGAACTGATATTTATAAATCATTAACACCTGTTTTCAAGACAAAGTTTCTTACACTAACATGCTTTGAAATCTTTATAGAATCTCATTAACAAGAGCAAAATGTTACAGTCAGCACAAGAAATATATTACAGCATATAGCCAAAAGTAATACTAAAAA